TATGAAAATAGCCAACGATGGGAGAGAATTCGTGAAACTTGGACTAGGACTTAATAAGAAGCAGGCCAACCACCCATTAACCCACGATTTAAGGTGGTCCTTACTACCCAGTGCCCAGCGTTGGCTTTGTATAATGCTAAGAGGTAGAATGCTACCTTAAATGGTGTGCCTTGCTTTGCTCTCTTTAATCCCTGTTATCTTTGCCTGTTTTGGTCTATACTATAAACTCCCTATGACTAGATATGAATCAGGAGACACAGGAAGACCATAGAAGGTGTAGATTTCTTCCATATAATATACCCGAGACACATTTGATAAGCACAGAACATGTAAGAGTCCCCAACATCTTGGTACTACTACATTCATAGAAGACGTTTTAAATGAATTTCCTCCGGATGCAAACTCAACTGCAATGAGCAAAAGGCAAACATCTAACACAATCAAGCTGTATCTTCTACTTTCTTCTTCATTCTTTGCCCTGGCTCTGGAACTTCCTTGTATCCTGGGTTTCCTTTGTCCTTGCCATTGGGTTAGGGTTAGGGTAATTCCCTAGGATCACGCTCCCATCTGCCAGCGGAAGTCCATTCTCAGTAAGATGTCTCTGTCTGCTGCTCTTTGTGCCTAGAGAAACACAAAGCTTGAAAGACTTCCTTCTGTTCCCAGTGTCCTTAGCAACATTATTTGCTCTAGTCACCTAGTGTCCTGCAGGGGCGTCTCCACGTGCCGCCGTTTGCATATGAGGTGTCCCCAACAGGCTCACGTGTTGGACAAGCCGGTGCTGCTGATCTGGAAGGCAACGCCCATGTGGGAAGGCGAAGCCTTGTTGCGGAAGTGGGACAGAGGGATGGGCTCTGAGGTTTTACAGCTTGGCCCTGCTGCTGAGGGCCCAACCTCGTCTTCCCTGCCAAGCCTTCTGCACCACGCTGGGCTGCACCCCACTGAAGCGGAAGCCGAAGGACACACTTCTTCCCCGAGGCTACAATACTGCAGGACCCACTTGCCCCAGGAACGCGAGAAGTAGTGATACAGAAAGGCGGGGGGCTGAGAACTGGACCATTGCCGCATCAACCCAACTGCGTAGCTCCCGGGACTTTCAAACTGGTTTGAAGGAGAAATACGGAAGCATCTGGAACTCGGGGCTTGAAAACCCCAGGGATGTTGTGAGAGGCCAAGGAGCCTTCCTAGCACGAGTGTGGGAGGCCACGGAGGAAGTGTGCCCAGGGGTGTCCTGGGCTGTCCTGGGAACTGGGCTACAAGCCATTCGTGTCACCACCTAGCGAGTACACTCACTGGCATTCTGCCCACATCCTGAAAGCATGAATGAGCCTGATAAAAGACTGATTTGGCTGGTGGAGGACACCTCCAGACAGAACAGCATCCGGTCTGCGTGAGGTTCCTGCACACCGTTCTTCAATGTCTACAGCGAGAGGAAAAGCAACAGACCAGCAGAGAGATGGGGAGACTCGATGCTGTCCTGCGGGGCTGAAGTATAAGCTCAAAACGCAGCTCTTCCCTTCCGATGCTGCCTCCGTAGTAAAGTCACAGCCGGGACAGGAGTGACCGGTGCATCGCATTTGTGCCTCGCTATTCTGCAAGGTCTCGTCACGTCCTGGATTCTGACAGATCAGCTCTCTCAAGGATCTAGTCTCAGCACGGGATGCATTCCTCCCTCCGTTTTATACTACAGAGCCCCCCCCTACTGTCTTACACGTACCTGTATCCGTCAGAAGCTCGAGAACAATTTCAAGTAAAGCACACGGTTAAAAAACAATCTCATCAATTTCATGAGTCTTGAAAAGCAAAACTGAGAATAGAAGCCACAGGAAAAGTCAGCCCACTCTGCTGTTTCCTGACTATTAGATTTTTTGGCATTCTTGGTAAGACAGTTCTGGAAACAATCGTAAATGAATGAGGACAGCTTCGGACAGAATATTCAATACAGCAATATAGAAGGGCTGAGCGAATATCGGTTAAAATGCGATTTGTTCTAGTGTTGCATCTTATGGGTGCTCAGCATTAAAATTACACCTGCTGCTAGCGGGGTGGAGACGGAGAGTCAATATGGGGAAGACGCGTTTGTTTCCCCACACCGCATCCTTTAACAGAAACACAGGTGCCTTCCTCCTGTTGCCTGAACTCCATCCATCCTTCTGGGAAGGCATTTACTGATGGGGATGGAATAGAAATAGTCTGGCGCCATCTTGTGGCCGTCACGTGCAATTGGCTGTGTCTTTGAAACCGCAGTCGGCTTGTTATTTTAGAACATTTTTTCTTTTTTTCTTTCTTTTTTTTTTTTAACTACGAAACCAGTTTATTCTTCCAAACAGCTAGCTTGCGAGCATGAACAAAATATTCATATGCAGAGGTATTTGCTATATAAAGCATAACAAAAATTGCAGTAATGATGATTTATTCTGTATCTTTGTGTCCAAGATATTTTGAGTTTTGTGTCACTCCCTTGTTGGATGACAAGGCGGCCAACTCCCAGTGAAAGCAGGATAGACCCACTCAGTTCAAAGTTCGAGGCCATTCAGGTGTAGGATGTAGTGGACTTTGGACTTCAAAACGAGATCTAAATCTAGACTTGTAGTAATTATTGAAAAAAAAAAACAAAAACGGCAGTTTAAAACAGCCACGGTTTTACAGATAAGACACATGGCCAGAAAAACATAAAGCTTTACAGTAAAGTCAGACTTGGATGAACAAAACCTCTAAAGGTTTACAGTGTGTTTAAAAATATACGTGACATTGAGAGAGAAAATGAAACGACAAAGTAGTAAATAAATAGAAAAGCCAGCGTTGTGGTGGCACACGCTGGTAGGATTTACTCCAGAGGCAGAGAAAAAGAAATAAAAGTAAAAAAAAAAGAGTAATAATAGATAAATAAATAAGCCACGTAAAGATGGAAAATACACAGAGAGTCTGGATACTGTACGCTATTGTGTTTTTCAGTTTTTTTATTGCTAAGGAACAGCTGCTATAGTACACTTGATTATAAATGCTGTTAAATTAATTCAACTTCTATCTTTTAAAAATGCCTTGACTTCAAAATTTAAGTATAAGAATATGTTACTTGGGAAAGGAGATTTTGCTTATGTTTCTACAGAAAATGAAAAGCTGAGGATTCCTTCCAGGCTTCTGTGGTTTGACGAACCAAGACCCCCGGAAGCAGTGGATCAGATGTTCCAACAATTAAAACAGCTAAGATGATGCAGCTTTACAGACCCGAAAATAAGGACTTATACAGGTTTCTGAGTTTTGTCATGATCCCCATGGTATGAACAGCGCCCCCTTTCAGCATGAAGCAGTTTGGAATGAGCGACGTCCTAATTCCCATCTTGATTATAAATCTTTGTTTTCATTTAAATGGAATTGTTTCTAATTGGCTAGTGATCACAGCCAATCTTTTTTAATGGTAAAAAGGGGAATTATGGTATGGGTATGGTTTTTCATTTATTGATACAAATTCAAGGTCAATTTTGTGATGTGTATATTTCTCCTCTTGATTAAGTATTGTGCTTATACTGATCTTTTAAAATGTCATGCATAATTGGATACAGACTATAGATAGTTACTTATAATTTATAGTTAGGTAAGTTAGGGTTTCTAGATATACAGAAATATATTTGAGATAGATAAACAGTCTTCAAACCTCTCAAAGACCTTCAGAAAATGGCATTTAAAATGGTTTAGGGTTTTTCTTGACAATGAGAAATGTCTGCTCCTGGCAGCACCAATTAAGTCTGAGAGGAAGATGGGCATCGAAGAAACTCGTTATGGAGTTTGATTTCAACATGGCAAGATTAGCCATTTGGGCAAGAAACTACTCTTGCCTGTACTGTTTGACTGTTGTTGTATAAACTGGACATGCAGGACCCACAGAAAAATGACTGCTGAACTCAGTCTTACAGGGTTCCTGCTTCATGGAAGAGTCTATCAGACTTTCTGCAGGACACAGAAAAATGACTGACAGACTGCCAATGCAGATGGACAGTTTGAAATTTCCTGCTTTGCTGAGAAATCTTCTGGACACATTGTGGCCTATGGGCTGAAGGATGGATGCCCCAACGTTACAGAGGAACTTCGGGTGACTGTCCAGACAGTAAGATGTCTCTGTCAATCCTAGTGTTTATATATTATCCTTCTGCGGTCTTTGATGGAGTTGAAGACAGATAGTTATAATAGTTTTCCTTAGTTATAATAAAAGATAAGCTACATATAGAACTTTGGACTCACAAGGATGGGATGGATGATGTTTTCTTTAAATCTTACTAAATGTTGATAGAAAAAATGTTGTAACTGTGTTCTTACTTGATAACTGTTCTGTTATATATAATTTGACTATGCTAAAGTTAAGACCTTTCTTTTGTTTAAACAGAAAAGAGGAGATGTTGAGGGAAGTCCTGTGCATTTGTCAATAAAGCACTGTGTGGCCAATAAGGAATCTAGATAGGAGGGACTAGGAGTCCAGAAGGACTCTGGGAAGGAGAAACACAAGAAAGTTGACATGTAACCGCCGTGGGGTAGGAAGCCCGGAACTATTCTCCGGTAAGAGAAATACTTAGATTAACAATTATGGGGGTAATTGCTTAAGTCAGAGCTAGCCAGTAAGAAACAAGCAAGGCCAACAGCTTCATAATTAATACAGCGTCTTGTGTGTTTATTTGGGGACTACAAGGCAGCAGAGCCTAGGCAACTGGCGGGGGATAAACCAAAGCGGCTAACAAGGAAAAGCTTCTCTCTACATACCCTTTTAAACCACCTACTATATTTCAAGCATTATGCTAAATGGATCATGTTTGTTATCTAATCATGCATTCAGTATTCATGGGAAATAAAGTGACTGATACTGAATCCGTTGTATAAATTCAGACATACACAGGGATTGTATAACCTGCCCCAAATAACTTACATGGAAAAAATCTTGAATTTTGAAACTGGGAATGATTAACCCTAATGCCCATGCTGTCACTTATATAATGCTAATGCCACTTACTCACCCACTCCCCTCCTGACCTTCTCTCTCCAACCAGGTCCCGTCTTCCCGTGAGTCTACAGTATTATAAATCCATCAAGAGATCAGTGCATCGGTTGGTTAGATGGCAAATCCACATCAAGCCCCCAAAGATCATTATTTGGCGGCTCAGCCAAGAACACATGAGGCAATGGGGAATTCTTTTTTATATTCAAACAACGGAAGGAAGTGACGTCACTAGAAGAAAGCACGGGAGGTGAAATGTAAGCGGATATGCCGCCGTCTCAACGGAGACGCTCAAACCCCTCCTCCTTCCCGGACAACACTGGGCTTTCACGCCCTTGATAATTTGAGGTGACTTCGATCCTCCCACAAGTCGTCTCGCCGATGGCTGCACAGTCAGTGCAGCCACGAGAGCGAGCATGGCCAGTGTTTGCACTTGGGCTTCCTTTCCCCGTCGCCCCGGTGAGCTAGCATGACAGCCCATGTACTCCAGTTCCAGACTTTGTGAACTCAGTTCACGGCTGTCACTAGCTATGCGACCTAAAGTCGTAGTTACCTCAGCCCTCTTCTGTGAACCATAGTAATGCATTCAGAGTAATGAGAATCAATCCTGTTCGCACTGAAAATAAACGTCGAGGGTTAAACTCGTGCGTGGCTTGGAGGATGTACCACAGGAGCTTTAATTATTGTTCAGTGTTGCATTATGATGAACCACCTCTTCCTAAGATGTGTGTGGGGTGGTGACTTACTGACACGCTTGCGATGACAATATACACGTGTCTGACAGATACTAACCACTCCTGAAATGCAAGAGTCGTGTTGGGGACAGCCTGGAAACTTTCCTATAATGACAGCTAGCCTCTAAAAGCTTGCTGAAACCAGTGAACCTCAGAATCAGAATAGAAGAAGACACCCATTGTCATTACCCTGCCTGGGATGAGGGCTTGCTTGCTTCACGTCCTGCTTCAAGCTCTATCCCGATAAGGCAGAAAGCCCAAGCCCTACTGTAGCTGCGAACCTTGAATATTTATCATCATATCTTTAGTTGCTTCCTGTCCTGTGTCTGGGAATGATGAAATTCTGTAGAAACAGGGCATTTTTAAATCAGTGAGTTGTTGAGATTAAACCTGGTAGAATTATGTCTTCACTATTTATATATCTTTGCTATTATGTGATTATGTAACCAAGCACTATGGGCTTGAGGCTGTCATTAAAACATTCCTTCTCATCTCTGCTTGGCTTATCCCAGAACCTTAGTGGTTGTAGACTCACAGAAAAGTCGACAGAAGTTGGGGTATATGTAATTTTTGTACTAATTTCAAGTCAGATATGCACGTACAACCCTGGAGAATGTTCTTCTGGTTGTCACTTCATGAGCAAGAGATTTGTGATTGAGGAATTTCAGGGGGAAAGTTCCAGAGTGATATTTTTATTGCATCCAACTTGCCCATGTCTAAAGCTTTATTCCTAGATTGTGGGTCCCTGCTCCATCATGGACTAGCCTGTCTTTACATCTCTCCTGAATCTTTGGCACCTCCCCCACCAAAGAACTACCCTGAGAGCTTTGGGGGGGGTAGGTAAAAACTGCTAACTACTCAGCAGAGACTGACCAAGTCTCATCTTTCCAGTTCGTCGCTTGGTATCTGAACTACACCATACCCCCCACTCCAGAAACTGATGATTTGGGCCCATGCATGGTACCTGAAGGATGTCAATTACCATTCAAGCAAACGATCTGAATTCAGGCCTCATTAAAGTACTTGATCAGATACCTGCGCTTCGGGCCTCATTAAAGTACCCTATCAGAGACCTTCGCAGACGCGGAAAGCTGTTTTCCCTCTTCCTGGCATGCTTATTCCATCTGCCCATGCTCTAATCTAATCCTGCGGAACTAACATGTTTACAGAAGACAGCATAGCGCCCAGGAGTGGCCAGTGTTGGAGAGGAGTTTGGAGGGGTCACGTAGGGTTGAGCCAGGAGCAGCCAAGCTTATGCTGGTTGGGTCTAGAGATAGAGGTTTTTTATTTCCGCGCTTGCTTACCCCGTAATTCTGCACTACACCAATGCTTACCATACTTACCCTGCATCCCAGGCTCGGTTCTCAGTCCTGTTACTCACCAAACTAGAGCAAGACCCACGAGAGCGAGAAGGCTCAGCTGCATACTATTGAGAACGAATGCCTTAATAAGCAAGCGCGGACTTTTAGAATTACAAATCAAACACCGGCTGACATGCCACTCTTCGCTGTTTTCCTTGGCGCTTCTATGGGACACCTCAACCCAAAAGTGACCCCGCACTCAGCCAGTCATGATGCTGGTTAAATGCAGCCACAGCCACAACTCCAGATGACCCAGATGCCCCTGTTTCTCAGCGAGTTTCACAGCTTAAATTTCCTTCCGTGCCCACGTATCCCACGGCATTGCAGCCACGTTCGGTCAACAAACCGGAACACCCGTTACACGAGAACCCGAGGAGGGGGAGACAGATCTCTGGGACTTCCTAGGCAGCCAGCCTACCTGGCGAGTCCTAGTTCCCTAGGACAACAAGTTAGATAGCTCCTCTGTCCTCTGCATCCGTGCCTGTGCGTGCACCCTCCTCCACGTAAACGCGCATGCCCCTGAAAAAATCCCTTCTTCATTTAGTTCAAATAAAGCCGTGCCAACCTCCCGAAGAAGAAAGTTATTGCTCCCACATGGCTGGCCGTCCAGATGTCATGCTGAACTCAGCTGGTATTCCCCAACTACAGAATTTTCAGTAGTTGGGTGAATGAAAAGAGTGATGAGTTCTGGGGAGGAAGCACCTGCTGTCTTCCTCGGACTAAGAAGCCTATCACTTACTTATCATTGCTCACGCAGTTTTACATTCTTCTTACCAACAGGTTTTCTTTTTGGGTGCGCAGTCTTCTTGCAGCCCGACTCAGATCCACAAACTCTACAAGTAGAGATACATCCTTCCTGGCAAATGATACCCAATGTACCCTGCTTCCTTTGCAGAACAAATACCAATGGATCTACATGTCAGGATGCTTTTGGTACCATGTAATATAAAACTTAGGCTCAAACCACGTTAAAGACTGGAAACGATTCATTGGTTTATATTTAACTAGACGAAGAATTCGTTTTTCTGTAATTTGAGTCAAACCAGTGATTTACTGACCTTTTCATCCTAAGGCATTATTAATAGCTGCTGAACACTTTCAGTAACCATGTTCACACCCAGGACTACACAGAACCCCCTCTGTGGCCTTCTAATAAAAGGAAGTACATACATTTCCCTAAAGGTCTCAGGACATAATTTCATGTCCTACTGTCAATTCTTTGCCATTCTTGCCTCTAGACAACCAATTTAGAGCAATAGGCACTAAAAATTAATTAGCTTTGAAAAAAACCCAAAATAACAACATATTTAGTTAAAAATTCTAATTAGTCTTTATTTGGGATTTGGGGTATGGGCAGCAGTCACTGAACTAAGGAGATTAGGTCACTAAGTTGAAAAGGACAGAAGGCATAGAATGAGAAACAGTCAATCATTTCCAATGTACTTTCCTTATAGAGTTAAAACCATGTTCCAAGCTTACCCAGATAAATTGGGCATACTCTGATTGGCCCTGAATCTAATTTTTAAAAATTGGCACATATTTTTGTTGTTGCTTATTCTAATTATATAGCACTTAGCACAAATGAGCACACTCTTGTTAGTCTGCATTGGTTTGTTGGGCCCAGAGCGGGAGCTCAGTCCCTAGACAATGGTCTCCTTCCAGTTGTAGGATCTTAAAGGGTCCAGTTTTTTTTTCCTGGAGGTGGGGTTGAAATTATCTCTGGCCAGTCACAAAGGATATATTGAAGAATGGACTTTGACTAGGAGGAAGAAGGGTGTATACTTACCCAATCCCCCTACAATTATCACATTTCTAAGAACTAAGAATGTTTAAGAACACCTAAAAGATTTTTCACCAACCTTTGGTATCCCCATGTTCTTTGTTCCAGGATGGGACTAGCTGAATCCTTAATGACTCTCACTGGACACCCACCCAGCCATTTGATTATGGAATATTTGGAACCCAAACCAAGTACTTTCCGTATCTACACCCTAGAATTTCACAGATATCCAACATCAAACATCTTCACAAGGTCACACAGGTCACACAGTTAATAAGTTGATGTCCTCAGGGTTTCAGCTGAAATCACTTTCTCTTAAACTTTTGAGTATTAAGGAAAGATTTATTGGTGTCTGTGTATGTGTAAGAGAGAGAGACCCACAGTTTTAGGGATCAGACCATGCTAACTGCCACCACCCTAAAGAACTGATGTTTATCCAAAGTGTCAAGAGACTAAGAACCTTATCACCTGCGTCTTGGGACTAATGATTCAGCGCTGTGAGGAGCAGACAGCAGAACTCTTATTTCTAGATCATTTTTCATCTGTTCCATCAGGTAGAGTAATCTTTGGCTTGAGAGAGTGTTCAAACTCTGGCAGTAGGGAATGCATTTTGAAGTTGAATAAAGATGAAGTAGGTGAACACCCAGCTACTCCTGTGAGTTTATGTCTTCTCACCCAGACAAATTAAATGCCAGGAGCTGAGAGAAGCTATGATTGAATGCGTCCACAGAAGCGGTGACATGGTCTATGACAATGGGAATTAATCCTCGAGACGCACACATGCACTCTTATTTATATTTTAAATGAATGCACTTTAAAAAAGCATCAGCTTTATAAACACACAAACCAAAGATTAAGGAGGCTTTTGTATATTGAGAGTAAGCTCCAGACCACAATACCTCAAACACAATTTATTTGTATTTAGAAAAGAAAATAGGTATTTCCATTAAAAATAGAAGACTGAAGACTTTTTTTCCTGCTTTCTTAACATCCCTCCCCCCCACAAATCACAATAAAGTACTTCAAAGTGCAGAAACCTGATCGTGTTTGCTAACAGATAGGAGAGTTAACTTTTTAAGGTAAAAATAAGATGCAAGTGTTGCTACTAAGGTGGAATTCTGTAGAAGCTGAAGTCCCTGCTTGTGATAAAGCAGAAAGTCGGTGAGGAGAAGCTGCTGTTTATAAAGGTGAAAAGTCTTGGAGAAAGTTTTTCTGAGATAGGGTTTCTCTGTGTAGATTTGGAGCCTGTCCTGGAACTCACTCTCTAGACCAGGCTGGCCTCAAACTCACAGAGATCCGCCTGCCTCTGCCTCCCGAGTGCTGGGACTGAAGG